CACACAGAGTTTAAAATTTCATCTGCTTTCATTTCATTTCACCATAGGCCTCTCAAGTACTTGAAGGCCAGGCTGGAAAAGGGTAAGGATGACAGGTAGCCTGCTTCCGAGCAGGCTCTGCCAGGGCAATCAGCCCAGTGTTGATGCTGTGCCCACTTGAAAAAAAGGCTCATTCCAGCTTTGGATGTGATTATTCAGCCTGGGAATGTGAAAAAATATCCCACCCTGAGCCAGGAAAGTACCAGAGTCACCCAGGAAAGTCTCTCAGATCTCCCCAGCTCCTGAGTCTTCTCAATCCTTGTCTTTGGCAGACAGGATCACTAATGGATTCAAAACAAGGTACAAGGGTATAGTTCAGCTACAAAGCCAGATTCTACAGGACCTGAGTGGGTCAGCCTTAGCATGCTTCATACCCTGGCCTGGGCCTTGTCTAGACAAAACAGGAAGAAATGAGTTTGCCAAAGTTGTAAGTGTCCTGGGTACAGGGTTTATTGGCATGTACAGGACAGGCTGGAATGGGACCTGTCAGAGGCTTCAAAGTCTTCCCTAACCCATCCCCAGCACATGCTCCAGTTCAGAGCTGAGCCTACCCACCATCCTCCAGTTCAGAGCTGAACCCACACACCATCCTCCAGTTCAGAGCTGAGCTTACCCACCATCCTCCAGTTCAGAACTGAACCCACACACCATTGAACTGAGCCTACCCACCATCCTCTTTGGACCAAGAACTGCTTCCCATTGTTGGCTTCAGGTTGGAGTTCATTGGCAGGTGCCAGGGGTCTACCTGAGTATTACACAGAACCTTTCACAAAGGAGTTGTCCTGCACTCATCCATACCAGCACTCTTCAGCCTGTCGAGTTCTTCAGGTAAGGAGAGAGTAAAGAGGAGAATGTTGAATCTGTTTTCTAATTAATGCCGCATAACTATTCTGAAGCTAAGCCTAAATTAAATCAATGTTTACATTTTTTATTAAATGCATGGATTGTGGAAAACTACTATATTCTTATCTAAAAGAGAGAGACTTCTAAATAAATTATTATTCCCCTTGTCCCTTTCACCTATTCTGGAGGTCAATGTATTTCTTTTCTCACTCAAAGCAATTAAAGCATTCATCCCCCCCCACCTATTTGTTGTATATGTTTAACTTCTAATATACCTCTCCCTCTCTCCATCCTCCTGTTCCCTCCTCTCTCTCTCCCTCTCCCTCTCTCCCCCCACAATAAGCTATCACAGAAATAGTAAATGCACCAAAGTGTTGTTTTCTTTCAAATAAACATCACACATATGAAGAGTTTTGTAAACCCTCTTTTATTGCCATTGTGCATGGCTCTGATGAGGCAGCCAAGTAGATTTTCAAAGACACATGCTTACTGCATTAATCCAGCCATTAAAAATAATTGGGAGATGGAAGATTGGATTGTTTCAGAGCAACTGTGTTTGTAGCTGCCACAAAGCTAGATAATAGCTTCAACTGGGATGATTTTATCTGCTCATAAGCCCCAGGAATTATATCCACAGTGAGTGGAAAGGCACATGGACATCTTGTGCTATGGCAAAGATTTTTCTACCGATTGATGAACTCTTAAAAGAAATTTATTTTGGGGGCTGGAGAGATGGCCCAATGGTTAAGAGCACTGACTGCTCTTGCAGAGGACCCGGGTTCGATTCCCAGCACCCACATGGTGGCTATGAACCGTCCTTAACTCCAGTTCCAGGGGAATCTGAAGCCCTCTTCTGACTGCCACGGCATTGCACAACACAGGTGCACTCACATACATGCAGGCAATACACTCGTAAAATAAAAATAAGTATAAAAAAAGTTTAATTTTAAAAATTTCTCTTTATGACAAAGGTATGAATGAACAATTCTCTTAGTTGGTCTGGATATTTTAAGACTCGAGAGAACAAGAGCTTCCACTTGGAAGAGCCAAGGAAACATAGCTTGGGATTCTATATTAAGGGAGATAGTTTTAGCCTGCAGGACAAAGAAAAAATGGTTCAAGTCCTGTTAACCTTTTTCCCAGTGCATTCAGATGTGATATTCCATGATAGCCAAACATTTTGTCATGAAAACAAAACAGTAAAGCATGGTTAGCTCTTAGTAGACTCAAAGCCCTGTCCCTGGGCAATGGTGACCTGTTGTTCATAGTATTTCATGTTTTCAGAGAGTTGAGTGCATAAGAGCCTGTCACACACTGATCAGTGTTTGCAGAGCTGATCTTAAGCCTGAAATGAATTAAGTGCTTTACTCCTTCCATAAAAACTGCCAATGACATAAAAGACAAAGCTTAATCTTTACAAGATATTATGTAGGCCAAGAAGGACTAGGGAAGAGGAACATCGGCTTCAAGCAATGTGTGTGTGCCGTTTGAATGCCGTTCTGCCAAAAAGGTGGCTTTCCTACATTGAGTCTCTGTGTTTCCCATTCAGCCTCCAACCAGTTGTTCTGTGTTCCTCCTTCTAACACACACACACACACACACACACACACACACACACATGTGCGTGCGTGCTTTCACCCTTCACCCCCCCCAATAAAAGGAGATAGAAATTGTTTGACTACTGGTAAGAAAATCTCCCAAATAACAGTGACTTAGAAAATCAGCTCTATCATGCAAAATAAGTATAAATATAGGCCATTAAGGGCCAGCAATATTGTATTTGCTACACAATGTCAACAGGAGAGGTACAGACTTCCTTCCATCTGCATTCTTCCATTCTTTTTTAGTATTTTATTTTTATTTTATGTGTATGAGTGTATTGCCTGCATGGGTATAAGTACAGCCATGTCGTGCAATGCCTGCAGAAGTCAGAAGAGGGCATCACATCCCCTAGAACTGGAATTATAGATGATTCGTAGCTGCCATGTGGGTGGTGGGAACTGAACCCCAGTCCTCTGTAAGAACAGCCAGTGCTCTTACCACTGAGCCATCTCTCCAGCCACAATCTTAAAAGTGGCTTTCATCCTGATGGTCATCTCCTGGTCACAAGACTGGTGCTATACAGTTCCAACCATCAAAGCCATATTTCAGGAAGAGGAGAGAAGGGATGGAGCAAAATGGGTACAGGACACTTCAATTTGCTCCCTTGGAAGAACATTCCAGACTCTTTACCATGTGGTTTTTCCATGATCAATGGGAATTCATATGGTTACTACAGGCTGAACAAGAAGCTGAGCCGCATGTTTTCACTGAGCACATTGCTACCCTGAATATCAGGGTTCTGTTGCTAAGGAAGAAGAGGAAATGAGTCCTCAGGATACAGATTTACCTCATCTTTAATGAAAAACAGAACCCTCCAGCTTGACGTCATTCATTCTCCCCTGTACCAGCACGTTCTGTTCACCTACCTATGTTCTTCTTCCTGGAGAGCCCCCACTTGCTAAAGCAGAGCTCCCCAAGTCCCTTTTCTTCCCTCTCCTCCACAGCTTTCATTCCTCTCTTACCACTTCCTAGACCACAAACCTTTCTATTTGATTTTGGTTTGTGGGCCTCCCTATGCTGTCTCTCTGTGTAAACTAAGGTGGCCTCTAACACAGTCCTCCTGCGTCAACCTCCTGAGCAGTGGGATTTCAGGCATGCATTGCCACATCCTGCCCTCCTGTTTGAAATCAAGTGAGTGAAGCCTCTTCCTTGCCCCAGCAGTTCTGCTCTAAGCTCTCGAATTCCTCTGATCACCAACATCCCTGAAGAGTGGCTCCATCTAACCCCTGCATTTCTTTACCTTCCTCCTCGGCCCCCCAACAGCACACATCTTAGATGGTGCCCTCCCAGATCTCCCTTGCCAACTCTAGTGGCCTGGCTCTACCTCATCTCTAAGGGTCCTGAGGCATCTTGCATTGCTGAACAGCCTGGAAGGGAAAGGCAGCCAGCTGGGTGGCCCCAAGGCTGCTGTGTGATGCTCTGTCCCTGGCTCACTGAACTATTGTCTTTATCCCAATTCACATGTGCCTGTGTTCGGCTTCCTACCTACCTACCTACCTACCTACCTGCACACACACACACACACACACACACACACACACACAGAGTCCACAAGCCTAGATCCTCTGCCTTCATTCCCCCTTTATTGCACCAATGCCTTCAGCTCCCCTGTGCTGTGGACCTGAAGCCTCCATCTCCCATTTCCCCCAGCACCAGCCCCACAGCTGAACCAGCCTCAACTGGGCAGAAAATACTTTAGGCCAGTCTGGCTCATACTGTGGGGCCTCTGTGCCTGTTTCCTTCCCTGCCACTGAGGCTGCTCTAGGGCCACCATGTTATTCTTAGCTCACAGCTTTCCCTGAGCTGGCCCATGAGTGGCCCAAGCCATCTTTCTCCCCAAAGCAGCCTCATTTCAGGTCCTTTTTCCCTCAGGAGTCCTGGGCTCATGGCTCTCTGATGCTTCCTTCCTCTGCATTGCAGTCTGGGCCTGTCCTGTCCACTCTTCCTTTATCACATCCATCAAAGTTGCCCTCCTTTCCCTTTCTAGTCTCCTTCCTCTTTCCCCCAGAGGTGGCTACAAAGTGCCTCCCTCCCCCTCACATCTTCCTGTGCCTGACCATTCCTGATGACCAGGGCAAATTCATCTCCTTCACTGCTAGGCAGTGCTGGGTAAGGCTGTCAAAGGCTTTCTCTTTCCCATGTGCTGCTCCTACCAGCATCTGGAGCCTCGTAGTACCTTGACCTCCTTTCCCTCTCTCCCTGTCCTGCGCACATGGTGCTGGGGTTTGGGTGCTGATGGGATACTGTCTCTCTTCCCTCACTCAACTGACATCTCTATCCTCCATGCCCAAGCTGTTCTCTGACTTTTCCCTTACCTATGTCCTTCCTGACCTTTGAAGACCAACATCTCCATCAGGCCTTCTCTGACAGCCCATGTGCCCTTCCTTGCTGTCAATTGCTGAGACATCTGGACCATTCCATTATCTCCAGGGACCCCAGAGTGATTGAGACACCAAGGTTTTACACCTTGCATTGGCACTGAGCCACGGGGTTACTGCACCAGTCAGTGGCACTCTGTGAGCACTAAGGAAGGGCAGAGGTAAAAAAAGATGAAGAGGAATGATGACCTTTCCAGAACTGAGGACCAGGACTGGAGAGATGGCTCAGAGGTTAAGAGCACTGGCTGCTCTTGCAGAGGACCCAGGTTCAATTCCCAGTACCCACATGGTGGCTAACAACCATCTTTAACTCCAGCTCTAAGGGATCCAGCACCATCTTCTGACTTCTACAGGCATTGCACAATATGGGTGCACTTACATACACGCAGGCAGTACACTCATACACATAAAATAAAAATAATAAAAACTGGGCTGGGTGTGGTAGCACACACCTTTAATCCCAGCACTTGGGAGGCAGAGGCAGGCAGATCTTTGTGAGTTCAAGGCCAGCCTGGTCTACATAGTGAGTTCCAGGACAGCTGGAGCTAGGGAGCCCCTGTCTCAAAAAGACAAATAATAATAATAATAATAATAATAATAAATTGTTAGTGATGACATAAAAGTTAAAACAGATGGGAATCTCTCTGAAGGAGATTGAAGAGTAATTCTTAAACTGAAACAGCAGTTGGGAACTCTTAGGAATCTACCTTTAAATTACCCATTGCTCAACTGAACTGAATTTCTGCAGGTACTAAGTCAGCTTGACTGAATGGACATGCACCTGCAAGTTTTACACAAAAGGTAAATATTTTTCTTTAAAGTTCAAGGACTCCCATGGCAGCAGGGGACATGCTCCATGGGCTGTTTAAAAGGCAGCTGGATGGAAGCTTTGGGATGAAGAGTCTATATGTCTACACAAGATTGTCTGACTATCATAAAAATTAAATTTCTTCAAACCATCAAAAAAATAATAAAAATCGAAAGAAAATTGAGGACCCAAGTTCCCATCATGAACCTCCAAAATTTAAGAGCCTCAGGAAAAGCCACCATCCCCTTCCACACATTTGTGTCCTGACTTTAAGAGGTTGTAGGGGATGTTAGACTATATAAGCAGTTCATCCTGAGTAAGAGGCAGGTGAGGAGAACTTACTTGGCCTCTGCATGCCCACTTGAAGCCCTTTCCCTTCCTTCCACATGCAAGCTCTCCATCACAGAATGCAGTCAGCCTCTTCTGTAGTTTAACTCGTTCAAATAAATAAATAAACAAATACATGTGCTAAAACTTTCAAGAAATGCATTATGTGGCCCACTGGTATCTTTATTATGTGGAGTTTGCATACTTTAAATTTTTTATTTATATTTT